TGCAGCTTTTAGCTACTGGTCTGATCACTGCAGCTTTTAGCTACTGGTCTGATTACTGCAGCTTTTAGCTACTGGTCTGATCACTGCAGCTTTTAGCTGCTGTTCTTCTGGTCTGTTACTGGCCAACTATTTTGCCAGTTTGTCACTTTTGCAGTGATTTTAATTTTATAAAATGTCTCTGATTTTAAGTGAAGCAGGAACAGTCGTGTCGAGGTCACGTTGACGCTCATCTGGAACCCGATGTTAATTACAGAACAACATGGCGGATGTTTTATTACCCAGAGTTCCTTGTAACCATTCTGTGTTCAAGCTCAGCTGAGCAAACTTCAGGTTCAAGGTTCAGTTGTTGGAGAAATTTGGAAATCTTGTGGCTGAAACAGGTCTCCATCTTTGTTCATGAACGTTTGATGAATTTGCGGTTCTTCTGCTGCAGATCTCCTCGGCTGCTTGCGGTTATGGCTTCACCCTCATGGCGTCCTCCACCAAAGACGTGTCCAAGTTGTGGGGCATGGGCCTGAACAAGGACTCCCAGCTGGGCTTCCAGCGCACCCAACACAGCCGCGGTGCGATACAAACACGACTTTAGATTTAGATTCAGGAATCACCTTGTTGAAGCAAAAATACAGTTTATTGTTACCAAAGGACCGAAAAACCTTTTTAAAGGGAAGAAAAAGTGACTGAACGGCACAAATTATATTTTTATAAACCTTTATTGTCAAAAGTACCTCATGATCTGTTAGCGCCCATAGCGTACGTGTCCAGTATGACTCTGTTACCACATCAGGGTTAAAGTCATTTTTGTTAGTCATTTAGCTGTGGCAGCCATCTTGAATTAGTTACTCTAAACGTTAATGAGTTATGGATCCAATGATTACTTTCTGAGAGTTTAGTTAAAATCTGTCGACTGGTTTGAGATATTTTGCTAACAAACAGGGCTCACACCAGCAGTCAGTGCTAAAGTTTTGTGCTCAGAGTATGTGTTGGGACGATGCTCAGCTACTACCACACCACGTTTTAGCTCGTTATCTTTAAAAGCGGCTGAGCTTGAGGTGTTTTTGTGGTGGCTAGTCAGTCGTAGTTGATTTAAAATGTAGATATTTTTACAGTTTGTGATGTTAAATCTTTTTTAGGGGAATGTTTTAAAACCGTCTGACATGTAACTGACAGGTGAAACAGTTTAGAGTTTTCAGTCTCTCTCTGCAGAGCGGAGCTATGATTACGTTTTGGAGCCGTCCCCGGTGGCCCTGCCTCTGGTGGCGCCGCTGCAGACCAGGGTGGTCCAGGTGTCGTGTGGGCGGGCCCACTCCCTGGTCCTCACCGACCGGGAGGGAGGTGAGAGATCGTTTCACGCAGACCCAACACCCGGATCAGTTCACGTCGTCCACCTCGGATTCATTGGGTTTCTTCAGTACATTAGTTTGGACTTCAGCGTTCGTTTAGCTAATTCAGCCATTCAGGCATCAAAATGTTCGGCTCATTCAGGACGTTACAGGCATAACGCTGTTTTAATAACTTTTACACTTTTCACATTATTTACCTTTTATTACATGTTTTGATCATAAAACACTAAACTTTCTTTAAATCCTTGAAAACTTTGTGAAATCTACTTCAGCAATTTTACTTCGTTTCGGCTTATAGCCACTGTTTTGTTGAAGTTAGCTTGAAGCTACTGTTGTGCTAGTTTTAGCTTTTAGCTATGGTTTTGCTAGTTTTAGCTTTTAGCTAATGTTTTGCTAGTTTTAGCCTTTAGCTATGGTTTTGCTTATGTTATCTTTAGCTGTAGTTTTGCTGGTATAAGTTTTAGCTTATGTTCTGTTCATCTTAGTTTTAAAAAGAATAGAAACAGCCTTTATTTTCCCACAGTGAGTAAATTCAAGTGTAACAGCAGCAACCGATATAAAGGTTCACACAAAGTTTTTAGTTACTGTTTTGCTAGTTTTAGCTTTTAGCTACAATTTAACTGATTTTAGCTTTAGCTAATGTTCTGTTTATCTTAGCTTTAATAATAATAATAATAATAATAATAATAATAATGTCATCACAATGTCAGCACTGTATGTTTCCATACAATGGCGAAATTAGTCTCTGCATTTAACCCATCCACCACCAGGTGGTGCAGTGGGCAGCTATTGAAAGCGCCCGGGGGGCATTTTGGGGATGAGGCGTGCTGCCCAGAGACGCCACGTGATATACAGTGACTGGGGATCGAACCTGGGACTTTCGGGTCCCAAGCCGGCTGCCCTGCCTACTGTTTTGCTGGTTTTAACTTTTAGTTCCATTCTGATAATTTTGCCTTTTTAACTCTTTTTCTGGTTAGCTTTTAGCTACTGTTTTGCTAGTTTCAGCTTTTATCTCAAGTTTTGCTAGTTTTAGATTTTAGCTCCAGTTTTGCTGGTTTTAGCTTTAGCTATTTTGTTAATCTAACCTTTTAGCTGTTTGCTGAAGTTTGTTTTTAGTTAGCATTCTGATTATTTTACCTTTTAACTTTTTTTATGGTTAGCTTTTAGCTACTGTTTTGTTAGTTTTAGTTTTTAGCTAGTTTTGCTGGTTTTAACTTTAGCTAATGTTTATCTTAGCTTTTAGTTACTGTTTTGCTCGTTTTAACTCTCAGTTACTGGTTTTCTAGTTTCAGCTTCAACAAACTTCGGCTGTCATTCAGCTCTTTTGCATAATTAATCATTTCCAGAACAAATTCTGCCGGTGGTTTCATGTCGTCCAAAACGTCTGCTGAGGTTCTGCAGTCCTTCGGTGTTGTTCTAACGTTTGATGTGTGTTCGGTTCCAGCTGTTTAAAAGTTTTACGTTTATTTTGAGTATTTTCCAGGTTTGATTAAGAATAGAAACTAAAAAACAGACTTTTTTTCTTCTATTCTGACGAATGAAATTAAATTCTGATTTATGCTTCATGTTGCTAAAACTGTGCTGACGCCATCTTTGTAGTTCTTCAACATCAAGCCTTCATGACTGAAAACGCCCGCGAAGGCAAAAGGCGGGCGATAATGTTTTTAGAGGAGCCGCTCTCGGTTTAAAACTCAGTCTTTAAAGATTTAACTGCCAGAAGAACAAAACGAACACAAAGTTTTTATCGAGTTCTTTTTGTTCACACGTGGCTCGTCGTGAAACTCTGTGTTTTTTAGTTTTCAGTATGGGAAACAACGCGTACGGCCAGTGTGGGCGGACGATCGTCGATCAGGAGGTCTACAGGTGTGTCGTCAGTTTTTAATATTATTATTGCGCGTTATGTTTTTTTTTTTTTTTAGCTAAATCTTATCCAGTCAGAACAGTAACGTCTCATCTGTAATGTGAAACATCTGGATGTCATGTCAGTCCAACTAAACCCAAAGTCCGTCAGTAATTAATGACCGACTTTCAGCTGCTTCAATAATTATGATTTCAACTAAACTGATGAATTTGAAACTAACTTTTTTTTTTTTTTACGTGTAAATTGTTAAAACGTAAAAATCTGCTTTTGTTTTGTTTTTTGAATGTCCAGAGGACCAGATTGAACCGTTTTATATTTTTCTACCTGGATTATTGAGCTTGCATCAGGATGCTCTGCTAGCTGCAGCTAACTGCAGTGATCAGTGTCTAATCTATGCCTCAAATTAAAAATAACGTTTTCAGGATTCATGCCCAGAGCAGAAAATGAATCGTTACAAACAGCAGCTTGGACTGTTTTAACGATTAGAGCTGAATTAAAGCATGAATCAGCCTGGACAGCTCAGAACATCTGCCGCAGAAGCTACGATCTACGAGCTAATTCAGTAACGGCTTTATAAGCTACTTTTAAACAGCTACGTTATTAGCTTCAGTTCTGGTCCGATCACATTCAGAGATAAATAAGATCAAATCTTTCTCTTTTATCGCTTCATCTGTAGCACGCACAGCTTTCTGACTTCATTCCATTTTTATATACATTCAAACGTTACGTTATTATTATGTTGCGTACACTTTATTATTATTTCTGACGTTTTGTACATCGTCGGTCCTTACTCTGGAATATTTAGTCAAAACGTTAAGTGCAGATGTTTTGGCTGTTTTGGTAATGGCCGACGAAGCTACAGTGAATCATGGGGTCACGTGACCAGAGCGCCTTCGTGTTGGATAATTTAATTATCCCATCATCGACCCATTAAACAATAAGACACACAGAAGGAACCAAGAAGATTTTTCCGCTCGGTTTACTCTTTAAGGGGGTGCAGCGTTGAAAACAGGCATACAAGACGTTCTATCTGATCACAAGGTCTGCCCGCGGACGTTTAAGAACAGCTGAAATACCTGTTATCAACAGAGGCGAGGTCAAGACGACCTCTGCCTCACAGTTAAAGGTTTCAGAAGTTTTCAGGCTCCTCTCTTGACACATGGTTCTATATTAATTTAACATTAGCAAGTGAAAACATCCATGACCTTTACATAACTTCCCCCATCGCTTCTAATGTTTTAATGAACTGAACATAATTAATTTTTGTGCTTCCGTCAGTGGAAGCCACGTCATCCACCGGATTGAAGGGTTCAGCAGCCGGGTGGTCCAGGTGAGTCTGGTTCTGGTTCTGGGTCTCTGGGTGAACAGGCGGAGTGACTCTGATGGTGTATTTCTTTATTTCTCCAGGTGGCGTGCGGGCAGGACCACAGCTTGTTTCTCACTGAGACGGGGAAGGTGTTCGCCTGCGGGTGGGGGGCAGATGGACAGACGGGTCGGTCCGCTTCACCTCTTTACCTTTTACAATACACAGGGAATCCTAGAGCCTGGATAATAAATGATTTATGAACGTAAACAAAGACCTTGAAGGCACAAGATAAGTTTGAATGTTTTTTCGACGTGGACGAGGATTAATTTCTGTAGAAAAATAGAAACCACAAGATTCAAAATGTTCTGACAAATGACGTGATTGTTGTTGGGACGAACTGCTGTGGAGCAGTGGTAGAACACCTTGGGACCAGAAGTTGCAGGTTCGTTTCCCCACCATGTTGTGGTGTCTTTGAGCAAGACTTGTAATGCACAACTTCTCCCTGGGGCTGCCCGCTGCTCCACTGGGCGACGGGTCAAAGCAACGTGCAGTGATGACGGCACCGAGCACGTTTTGGGATGACTCTCAGCTACTACCGTATCAAATGCCACAGTGGACCGGGTCACACAGTGGACCGGGTCACAGTGGACCGGCTCACACAGTGGACCGGGTCACACAGTGGAACGGGTCACACAGTGGAACGGGTCACACAGTGGACCGGCTCACACAGTGGACCGGCTCACACAGTGGACCGGCTCACAGTGGACCGGGTCACACAGTGGACCGGCTCACACAGTGGACCGGGTCACACAGTGGACCGGCTCACACAGTGGACTGGCTCACACAGTGGACCAGGTCACACAGTGGACCGGCTCACACAGTGGACCAGGTCACACAGTGGACCGGCTCACACAGTGGACCGGCTCACACAGTGGACCAGGTCACTCAGTGGACCAGGTCACACAGTGGACCGGCTCACACAGTGGACCAGGTCACTCAGTGGACCGGCTCACTCAGTGGACCGGCTCACACAGTGGACCGGCTCACACAGTGGACCGGCTCACACAGTGGACCAGGTCAAACTTCAGCTGGTTCAGTTTTCCAGAGTGCTGGTTTGAGAACTTCATATCTTTTGGTCTGGAGTGACGTCGTTGGGAAAACCAGCCAAATATTAAAAATAAAAACGTGACAAGATTCACAGTAACAAACTTTATACGGAGGGATTTCCAGACTCTATGGCTACTGGCAAAGACAAACAGTAAATCTGGTTTAAAGGGGTTCTGTTGGGGGTGACCCGGTCTCTTTATGGCCAAAGCAGGAGCTGTGTCCAGAGTCTTGTGGGCTGGACTCTGCCAGTCCTGTCCCTGGTCTCTGATCCCGTTTGGGGCGTTCATGGATGCAGTCGTGGAGAGGAGGGTGTCTGGTTTGTGTCTGGGGGAGTTCAAGTTTCTGGGCATGATGAAAGGATGAAGCGGATCGGGGCCTCGTCCTCAGTAATGAGGGCGTTGCTTCAGTCAGTCGTGGTGAAGAGTTGAGGCAAAGTTCTCGATTTACTGGTCCGTCTACGTTCCGTCACTTGTTGTCATGAGGTTTGGATCAGGACTCAAAGAAAAATCCTGGGTACGAAGTGACGTTCAAACCATTTTTGTGCTTGTTAAGGTCAGTTGGCTGTGGCGGCCATCTTGATTTGTGTTGACTAAAGTATAATGGTCTGTAGAAGTTGGTCCAGTGATTTCCTGAACGTTTCGTTAACGCTGCCCAGTTGTTGGTGGGATTTTCATCTTCCAGACACCATCGTCTCCACCGTCCAACACCGTGCAGTCACGGTGGTAAAAGGCTGTAAACGGGAATGTTTAGTTTTTTTTGTCTCTGTTTTCTCCAGGTTGTAGTTTTGAGTTTGATGGGTGTATTATGGGATGTTTCAGGTTTGGGGCACCACAGCGTCAGCTCCCAGCCGGTGGAGGTTGGAGGCGATCTGGCGGGCGTGGCCGTGCAGCAGATCAGCTCGTATGGAGACTGCAGCCTGGCCGTTTCCAGGGACGGACGTCTGTTCGGCTGGGGGAACTCCGAGTACCGACAGCTGGCCTCGGTCACGGAGTTCACGCAGGTGAGGAGGGACCGCCGGGACGGGCGGGGTCTGATCCACGTCCCCCGTCAGTCCAGCGGTCAGGTTCAAGTGAACAGGAAAAAAATCAACAAATTAATTTATTTTTTGTTTATTTTACAAAGATGTGAAAAACTAGTTTGGACAGATTTGTTGATCCATGTTTCAAACTAAGTCCACGAGTATCTCAGCTGCCTTCTTGATTCTCATCAGACATTCGGTTTATTTAAAGAGAACAAAGTGGTTTGGGATGGATGCGTTCACGCTGAACATGGAGCCGACAACAAAGGTCGAGTCGTCTGCGGCGCTCAGGAACAAGATTCTAGACGTTCATGTTGAAGGTGAAGGCTTCAGGACCTTCTCTAAGCAGCGTCGTGCTCCTCTGAGCACAGCTGGCAAGGACTCCAGGTTGATCCAGGTGGGGACGTTTGGAAAAAGCAAGCTGAACTTCAAGGTCACGGAAGGATCGCGCCGTTCGTCACATTCTGAGTCGTAATGAAAGAAGAGGCAGCAGCTCCTCTACAGACAGAACAGCAGTTTGTAGGATCAGTCGTCCACAGTTCAGCTGAAAAGACCCAAAGTTTCTGGGACTGATGAGGAAAAACTGCAGCTGTTTTTGTGGAAAGGCACCAACAGATTTATCCTCGTTTGTTCCGTCTTCGTTGCCTTTTGAGGACCAGAACTGCTCAGGACTGTGGTCCGTACGGGTCCAGAAGAGCCGCTCCGAGTACGACAGAACACCGCTTCTCAAGTTTAGAGCCAAGATGTGGGTTCAGTTTTGGTTAGGCGACAGAACGAATGGAAGTCAACACAAAGCCTTAATGATAGACACGAGCGCCTGTTTGTTAGCAAAATATCACACATTTCAATGAAGCTGTCAGGAAGTAACTATTGTCTGAATGTTCATGAAGCGTTCACACGGTTCTCATCCATTTTTCATCCGTACGTTTTTCAGCATCTCTCATCTCGCAGTTTTCAAACTATTTCAACAAATTATAAATCAAAACGTTCGGCTCTTTCAGGACAATCCTGCTATGACTTTTTTTATTGGTGCAACTTTAGCTTTTTAAAATTATTTAACCTTTTCTGACACTTTTATTCTCATAGAAAATGAATTGAGCTCATTTTACATCCTTCAAATCTTTAGGTCTGGTTACAACCGTCTACTGCTCCTTTCACATTTAGTTCAGCTTTTTTCAGCTTCTTAGAGCAAATTTAAACTTTTTTCAGCTGTTTTGTGCTTCTTACAGCAAGTTTCAGCTTTCTATTTCAGCAACCGGTACTTTCTATTTCAGCTACCGGTACTTTCTATTTCAGCTGTTTTATGCAAATTTATGCTTTTTCAGCTAATTCCACATTTTTTGCACTCGTTTAATCTTTTTCAGCAAACGTGTTCTTTCTGATTTCTTATGCTAATTTAAACTTGTTCTACCTTTTCAGCTTTTTAAAAACATGTTTTTCAGTTTTAGCTAATTTGAGCCGTTTTCAGATAAATTCAAGTGTTTGTAGTAATTTTTGCTACTTTCAGCTAAATAATTTTTTAATGCTAATTTCAGCTTGTTTGGGGCTGCAGTAACTGTGTGTGTGTGTTAGCTTGGTGGTCAGCGTTGTGGACTAAAGCTGCAGCAGGTTCAAGTCCAGGTTGTGGCAGGAAGGGCATCCGGCACAAAACAGTCGCCAAATCTTTCATGCGAGTTCGCTCGCTGTGGCGACCCCCGCAGAAGGAAGCAGCTGAAAGAAACACGACGTGCTCCTTTCAGCTTAATTATGCTAGTTTCAGCTTTTTCTGCTATTTCAGCTACTTTTTAGCTTTTTGTGCTTAATTTAGCTTTTTCAGCTAATTCCACGTTGTTTTAGCTCATTTCAGCTCCTTCCAATTCTGGTAGTTTAAGCTTCTTTCTGCTTTTTCAGCTACTTTTTTTTGTTTTTGTTGCTAATTTCAGTTTTTTTAGCCAATTTCCAAATTTTTGTGCTAATTTCTGCTTATTTAAACCTAATTCAACAAGTATGTGTTCTTTCTAATTTCTTCAGCTAACATCGGCTCGTTCTTAAATTTCAGCTACATTTTAGCATGTTTTGTAGCTAATTTTTGCTGTTTTTCAGCAATTCGCATTCTCAGTGCATTTTCACAGGAAATGCAGTTTCTGTAGTTTTTATTTACTTTTACAGCTGATTAATGTTTGGCATCAATCCAACTCATGATGGCTGCCGGAGTGAATCGATCTCAGGCGAACGCCATCAATCAAATCTCAACAAAAGATCATTTTAGTTGAAAACCGTCACGGGGGGCGGCGGCAACGAGCGTCCTTTCAAACAGTGACGCGTGTTAAAATACTTCCTGTTGTCTCGTTCAGATCAACGCTCCTCGTCATCTTCCTCTGAAAGGTTGTGGAACGTTGGTCGAGGCAGCGTGCGGAGGCACACAGGTCGCCGTTCTCAACGGTCAGTTCATCGTAATCCAGATTATTAAAGGATCTGTGCTCTTTATTTACAGATTATCTGTTTATTCTGTTCTTTATAAATATTTTAATGAAGCTGAGAAGTAAAAATATTTTTTATTGGACTAAAACTTCCATCTTTATGTCTCTCAAATGTTCCAGACAAAGGAGAGGTGTTTGTTTGGGGCTACGGCATTCTGGGAAAAGGCCCGAACCTGTCGGAGTCTTCCACCCCGGAGATGATCCCCCCCACGCTGTTCGGACGCTCCGAGTTCAACCCCTCGGCGTCCATCACTAAGATCAGGTGTGGCCTCAACCACTTTGCTGCAGTGACGGGTAAGAAGTCCAATCAAAGTTTATTTATAAAGCTCCTGTCGTACAGCGGTGTGGTTTTCCACCGCCCAGTCTCCCCAGGACTCGCTTCCACTCTGCTGGGGTCGACACGGTCTCTGACCCTCGATGTGGGTCGGGCCGGTCTTAGTGCGGCCGCCTGAAACGACTTTACTTTCTGTCCAAAGCAAACTCGGCACAGCAACGAGCAAATCGGTGAAATAGAGTCAGAAAACACCGTCGTCCTCCACGGGTCACAAATATGTCGTAATCAGGTCGGGACCACCTCCATCCACCGGCCGGAGCCCGTAAATCAAGTCCAGCTGGTCTGGCTGCGCCGGGTCCTCGGACAACAAGCACTGAAATAAATGTCTGTTACTGTTTTAATGAATATATTTATCTTTAAAAAAGGTAAATAACAAAACGACTGCTGCGGTTGGTTTTTGATTCTCGTTAATCCGTCCAGTGTTTCATATATTCACTTTCTGCCGCTGAGCAATAATATGTATAATAATAATAATAATAATATATAATTATATTTGTTTTGCTTGTTATTTTCCTTCCTGGTCACCTCGAGCTGATCTGAAACTTGAGCTGCTGGCCGTAAAGACGGACGACGTAACAAACAAAAACAGCGGGTGTTGTTGCTTCTGGTTCGGGCCCGCTCACTTCTTCCTGTTAGGACGACCATTTTTATTAAATGTTTATGAGAAGTACAAACATTGAATGCAGGAAAAAATAATCCGTAGCTGTGTTTACATGGACATAATTGGATTAAACGGCCAATCGGAATAAAAATGTCATGTCAACGCCCCATTCTGATTATTCTGATCTGATTCAGCTTGATCAGAATGAGACGAGTGGTTTATGCTGAATCATAATGTAAACAATCTGATCATCTTATTCCGATCGTGGGAAACTGACCCGACTGCGCACGTGCGACCTGTCAACGTCACGTATTTCCACCTGGATAGATGCTAATAATATTAGCATGTCGGTGAGCGACAACGTTTCTACTAGAAACTTTGAAAAAGCTCAAAATGACGTATGACCTGCAGCTCAGTCAGGAAGAGCAGCGACGTCTCCGTCATTCAAACCTGGCGCGGGTCCAGTTTGGACGCTCACGTGTTTTTTAAAGAGGAGTTTACCACTCTGTGCATGTCGGTACTTCTGTTCAGAATTAAAGCCCACTGCATGTAAACGCTCATCGTGAACTGATTGTGTACCTCTGAACGATACATTTGGATTATTTAATTGGAAACATTTCAATCCAATCAAATAATTTTGCGCTTGTAAACGGCTCACGATGATGGGATTCTTTTGTAATCGCCTACAAAATAATGTTTTTATTTCATTGTGTGAAGGTCGATCCTGTTTATATTTAGCTTTTTGAAATATTTAGCCTTTTCCGCTTCTTTTAATCTTGTAGAAAATGAATCGAGCTCATTTTAGATCCTTCAGATCTTTTACTGCTCCTTTCACATTTTGTTCTGCTTCAGCTTCTTTGTGCAAATTTAAACTTTTTTTCAGCTGCTTCTGCAAACTACAACATTTTTATGCTTCTAATTTCTTTCAGCTAATTTCACCTTATTTCAGCTATTTAGCAGTTTTTGTGCTAATTTAAGCTTTTTCTTCTAATTCCACATTTTTGCGCTCATCCCAACTTTTTTCAGCCTAACTCATCAAAAATGTGCTCTTTCCACTTCCTTCTTGTAATTTAAGCTTCTTTCTGCCTTTTTAGCTACTGTACTTTTCAGCTGTTTTTGTTGCTAATTTCAGATAATTTCCACTTTTTTGTGCACATTTATGTTTTCAGCCTAATCCAACAAATGTGTTCAGTTTTCTCTTCCTAATTTAGGCTCGTTCTTCAATTTCAGCTACATTTCAGCTGCTTTTAGCTGTTCTTCAGCAGTAATCACTCACACTGCATTTTTGCAGGAATGTAATTTGTCTAGTTTAATATTTGATTCTTTATTTTTGTTGTTCAGCACCAACCAAACATTTTCTCAGTAAAAGTATTTTGCTCTGGTTCTGACGTCTCATGAAAAGACGCCCGATTAATTTTTGTTCGACGTCCTTCCAGATCGAGGCGAGCTATTCGTTTGGGGGAAGAACGTCCGAGGCTGTTTGGGCATCGGGAAGATCGAGGACCAGTACTTCCCGTGGCGAGTAAGTCAAACCCAGACCCGATCTCGTCCAGAACCTCTCCTCGTGTTGGTGCAGATGCTGGCAGCCTGTTTCTTGCTCCAGCTCTGAGAAGATCGGCCCGATGAACCGTTTAAATCTCTGCTCCGGTGTTTCCCCCGGAGACATTTTAAATTTACTCTGATGTGCGTCAGCATTTAAACCGGATCGGAGCGGGTCGAGCTCTCTGAATGTCCGCTCTTCTCTTCCTGTGACTGATGAACACGCTGTGAAAGATCAAACAAGTTTCTGTTTTAGTGACAAGATCTGACTCTGTGTCCGGCAGGTGACGGTGCCGGGTCGGGTGGTGGATGTAGCGTGTGGCGTCGACCACATGGTGGCGCTGGTGAAATCCCTCCTGTAGCTCCGGGTTCCCTCGGCAGCAGAAGAGAGGAACGCCGGATGTTTCTGACCGGACCGGAGTCTCGGGTCCCTCAGCCGGCGCAGAGCAAAGACAGAAACTGTGACTTGAAGACCTCACGGGTCGGACCGGATCAGCAGTTCTGGCTCGTTTTATTAAAACTGGACCGGACGGTTTAGATGTGTCCATGTAGAACCAGAGAGCGAGAGACTGATTTCTGGCAGCAGCTTCATGGGTCAGAGCTGTTGGACGTTTGACTCGACCCAGACGGTAAAACCCCAGAACTTTACTCTTTCTGTGCGACGTGTTGCAGGTTCCACGCCGGCTGGAAACATCTGGAATAAAATCTCACTGACCCGCTTCAACTCCAGTTCACGACTCCGTTCAAGCTGATTTGGTCGAAAGTGAAAATTTTTTTTAATCAGTTTGTTGTGAATGATCCTCAGCTACTACCACCTCCGTCTTCTGCTGCTGGTCTGCAGTCGGGTCATGGAGGGAACAGGTCCAGACCTCCCAGCTCCACCTGCGGGACCCGAGGTGTTCCAGAGAATCTAGTGACCACAGGTGACTCAGTGAAATGTAGCCGTAGCAGTTTTCTAACGTCAGTCGGCCATCTTCAGTTGGATTAAATCTTAAAGTTAATCTGTTGAACAGAGATTACTGCCTGCAGTTTCATTAAACTTTGTCCAGACGGTCGTGACTTCAAATATTTGAACAAAATTATAAAATATAACTCCCTTTGTCTTTCAGCAGCAGGCGGTAAATATGGGGTTTGGAAATGTTTTTACTTTCCCAAAAGATAAATAACTTAATATTTAAAAATGCCCAGATTACTAATCCTGTTTTAAAAGATGACTCGGCAGTTAGAAATCTGTTTCGAGGGCGACATTTAAAAAAAAACAAATGACGACGTTGGCAGAACGGGAGGACGTGACCCAACCAGTGCTCAGATCAGAAACGGGTTCATCCGCAGCTTTTAAAGAAACGTTCAGGAAATAACCGTACGGTAATCTACAACAGAAGAAGCTTTGAAGACAATTCAAGATGGCCGCCTCAGCCGACTGACTCGTCGACAGTCCGGTCAGCTTCACTGACACGGAGCTGAATTCTGGTATGGTAGAAGCTGAGGACCTTTCCCAACAGACTCCAAGTGCTGCTCGTCTTTGAATCTGTCTTGTTAGCAAAATATCTCAACCGCTGAGGTAAACGGACAAGCACCGAGGGGAGGGATCGTTTCGCACGAAGCGGATTGGTCGATTCCTCAAGTTTCAGATTTGAGATGTTTCGTTTCTGTAGATGGAAGTTTTGCATTTTTCTCCTGAACTCAAAATAAATGAACGTGAATAACGTCAACACGAGCGCGCTGCAGTTCTGGACTCCAGTTCTGGACCCTGTCCACGTTCATCAACGTAGCGTTCAGAGTCCCACCTGACTCCTCGAACACCTCAGCATGGAAGGCGTGCAGATTTTAAACCTGTAAAAAGTGCAAGTTGTAGATCCGATCATATTTCTTTACAAATCAAAACAAATCGTACACGTTCAACACGGAGCATTAATTTGAAGGAATGCTTGTCGCCCGCTGCGTTGAAACAAAGATCACGTCGACGAATGAACAGATTCTTGCAGCTGTTTTGGTCAAGCTTTGAAAACAACGTTACCCTGGAAGTTGCACTCAGAGCTGTGAACAACTCTCAGCTACTACCACGCCGAATTTCAGCTCAACATCTGTTAAAACTGACCCGAGTTACAGCTGTTTTTGTGTTAGCTAAGGCTAATTAGCTGTGGTGGCTAGGCCTGTCACGATTTCATTGATCAGCTTCATCGTTTCTTCACGTCTTTCTCTTTCTGAAGACGCTGGACGACAAAAAGGCTCAACTCCGGTGCTCTTCACTGACCCCCCCCCCCCCCCCCTTTCTCTTTAAAATACATTCTAACGTTCTTTTGGATCGTTAAAAGCAGCTAAGCTGAGAAGCTAAGCTAACGGGTCGACCTCGGGTGGAATAAACCTCCGTCTTGTCGAAACTCGTGCCTTCGTGTAAAAAAGTTGTTTTTCTCTGTAAAAAGAATCTGAGAACTTGTTTACTGATTTTTTTTTAATTAAAAGCTTTGTGTGAAAAATACAATGTTAAAGAGCTCAAACCGCACCGGGCGACCGCCATTTTGAGAACCGAAGAGAGACGGCCCATGTCACGTCAAGGGGCCTCCCTCCCATTTGTCTTAGAGGCACACTGCTCGCTCCCTCACTATCCATCCTTCGGTTCAGTCTTATACTGACATCCAGTGGTCAAAAAAGGTATTACACGCAAAGAAATTAAACATTTCTTCTTAAATTTGACAATTACTAATTATTGTCAAATTTCAAACATTATCGTTTATCGCAATAATTTGAGACAATTAATCGCTCAGCAACATTTGTTATCGTGACAGGCTTAGTGGTAGCCATCTTGAAATGGGCTGATCACAAACGTTACTCTGTTTAAAGTTTGAGTTTCATTGACATCTGTTGGGTGGTTCATGAGATATTTTGCTAACAGACATTATTATTGGGGCAGCTGAATGGTTAGAGCAGTCGTCCTCCAATGTGAGAGTTGGGGGTTTGGTTCCACCAGCTGTCACGTGCTGAAGTGTCCCTGGGCAAGACACTGAACGCTCATTGCCTCCGATCGGTGTTTGAACGTGATGATTCTCTAAGATCCAGCAGAGCGATGCATGAAAGAGCTGAGAGTCTTCATCACATAGAAAGGTGCTGTATATTTTTATTTTCTGCCTCGTGGGTAAAAACTGAACAAACGACTCGCTCCGAACAACAAAAACAAAACGGCTCGTTTTATTTTGTTTCCACACAAGAAGCTTCAAATGAAAAGTCGTGAACGTATTTAATTGAAATGGAGTGAGAAAACAGCCGAACACCGTCGTCCTAACACTGATAAATACACGATGTCTGCTCAGAGGGAAACATGATCGTTCTGAAGACCAGACATCCAGCTGTAAAAAGTGGCTGTAAAGTAAAACGTCCTCCGTTCACATCAGTACAGCAGGTCTGAGGGGGGGCGGGGGGGACCTGCATTAAAGTGCAGTCTGGAGCCGGAGGGGGGGGGCGCGGCTTCAAGACCTAAAATGGCCACCGGGGATCGGAGGCAGACTCCTCCTCTCCCCGCGTGAGCCGTAGCTTATGTTTAGCGCACGTCGTCGAAGTGGCTCAGCGGTGAGTTCACGCTGCGAGCAGAACCTGACGGAAACGGGCCGGGTCCAGAGTCCGCGCGCTGCCAGAATGCAAAGATTTGTAACGTTTAAGCAGAATTTCAAAATCAACACAATTAATTAAATGATTGTTTGGGCGTCAATGTAACTCTAAATCATGACTTTAAAACTTGTTATAAAACAACAAATATCAGTTGCAGAAAATCTCGACTGTCCTCAAACGACCGCACGTTATTTACTCTCCAGTTCGAACGTAAACGGACGAGTCACGAACGTTGGCAACAAAACGCGACTCTGCTCTTTAATTACAAATCGTGCGTATTTAGTCATTTTCAGAAGATTTAAATCAAAAACGCTGAGAATCGTGTGTTTTGGCAGCGGCTGCTTCAGACGTGACGCAAAGCGGAGTTGATTTCTTCTCTTGTTTTAGACTAAACTCCAGCTCGACGCTAAACGAGTGACTTCAGTTACAATTAATGCTGATCTGTCACACCGTGGTTCTGTGGACAGGTATGACTAAATAATATCTTACCTGTTGTAGATGTCTTTGAACAACTTCAGTTTGGAGAAATAATGCAGTTCTAACTTGAGCTAACGGCTGGTTGGACCGCCGTCCTAAAATAACTCAAATCACAGAAGTCGTTCCTCGAACCTTTACGAACAGGAAGTGCTACAGCCGCCTGATTTGTTTCAACTACTTCCTGCAGACCCAACAGCGAGGTGAAGCACGGCAGCGATCCACTTTAAGCACGGTTAAAGTCGAGCGATCGTACTTCACATCGCCGCTTTTATAAAAACGCTCCTTTTCGAGCTTAAAAACTGACAGTGGCAGCTAGCTGTAGCACTTCCTGCAGGAAACACTCGTAACTACCGGTGGTGTGAGAAAAGTCCGGTCAACTTCAAGAACCGAGCTCGTGAGGCGGGTCGTCAACCTGCTGCTCGCAGCGTGAACGCGACATTTTACTTCATGCTTCCACCGAAACGTGCCGGATGTGTTTGAGTTAAGAGAAACTAAAACCAGGACCCGGGCCGACTTCCTGTCCGTCCGTCTCCTTCGATTGCACACGTGGGGAATATTCAAAGGCATCGGTCCAGGCGTTCGGACATCTTGGCACTGAGAGCGATAAATACACATCTTTTCTTTTCCAGAGTACATTCTTCATCCTTCCTGGAGGAGTTGTGTAACGTTTACAGTATGGGGGGGGGGGGGGGGGGGGGAGCAGCTTCAGAGAGGTAAAGAAACGTTTTCGGTTTAGTAAACTAAAGCAGGAAGTGCCGGCAGGCGGGGAGGGCTCGGAGGAAACGGGGGAGTAAAGAAAACGAGTAACAAAGACGTCCCCTCCTTCGGTTCTGACCCAACAACACGCTCGTGGCACTTTTTAAACAAAGATGGCCGCCGTGACGGTTTGCTACGGCGCCGCGCTCTCCGTCCGCAGCGCTCCGATCACACTCTGGATGTTTTCTTCAGGAACCTGAAAGAGCAGAAAACAAACGCGCTGCTTTAAAGGAAAAGTTCGGCCATGTTGACGTTTCTGTTCAGGCCCGGCGGGCCAGAGGAGCTAACGGATCTGAGCCCCGATTGAACTGCGACACGTTTCATTTACGTGCGCGGTACAATAACAAAAAAAGGGCAGATTGTAAAGTTAAAACTATTAAAATACTTCACATTTTGTGAAAACATCGCTCACAAATCCTGTTTTATAAACTTGAACTCTGAGGCACCGAAAGTCAAACAACTCTGAGTATTTTGGAAGATTTGTAAAAGTGAAAACTTGCAGCGCAGCGTCACAATATCCACAAACATTAAAACGTTTGTGGTCGAGACGGGAGCGTTTCTGATCATGTCCAGAGCTGCTCCGGCATCAGTCGTCTTAGCAGGGCGCTCATCTCTCCGGAGGGGTGGGGTTAGACGGAGACACATCTGTGTTGCGCTGTTTGTACGACAGGTTTTCGAGCGGGTGTGTGTGTGTGTGTGTGTGTGTGTGGGGGGTGTGTGTTGCGTGCGTGGGTGTGGTGTGGGTGTCTCTGGAGACGGCTCAGCGTGAGGGAAACAGAAAATGGAGAGCTACGTAAAGCTGTAGCTTTTTAGCTAGCGTGTCTGTATTGCGCGCCACTAGCTTAGCGTTGCGTCAGTGCCGGGGGGTGGGGGTGTCAGGGCGCTCGGTTCTGTTGACAGGGAGGGGCGCCCTGACAGCCATCTCTCTAGATATATATATATCTATGGTGGTTAATCTGTGACGTGAATTAAAGTGGGTCGGACTCGGTGCGCTCGTTTTATTAAAGGTGGGAACATTTAGAAACGATTCACGTTTTCTAATGAAGACTTCATGTCCACTGAAAAGAAGCGGGTCGAGGTCCAAACTGAGGCCTTTGTGACCTTTGACCTGCCAGAAAAACACCAAAACACAGTTCCTTAATTAAAAATATCTTACCAGAGCGTGGTCAAACTTGAAGGTACTAATGTAGTAAGCAGGAATGTCAGCTGTTGCCAGAGGTTCTGAAATCTGAGCCACGATGCCGCACTCGTCTACAAAACAAACAGACCCAGTTTACAGACGGAAGAGCTTCTGATGGAGAACTTTTGAAAATGACACCGAATCAGAAGTCGTCAAGAGAACGTTCATGTACCGACGAGCTAAATGATTTACTTTAATTTTAAATGTTAGACATGAAGATTTCAGTCCAGGAGGAGAAACTGAATCAAAACAAATCCAGACTCAGTTGGTCTCATCTTTCTAACTTGGAGTCTTTCACTTGAAAAATGTATTTTCCGTTTGAAAAAGCAGATTTTTGTGTTGTGCTCTACAAACGTGTTCTGTCGGCGTCTACGTTTCACCACCGCTCTTATTTTCAGGAGACGTTTAGTAAACGATCCTCTCACCAAATCCTAAAGGCTGTCCCCCGATCCGAACCATCTTCCAGAGCTCGCCGGAGGCGCTGGTGAAGAGCACGTTGTTTGGAAACCTTCACGAGAACATTGAAATACAGTTAGAGCAGATTTAAACTAAAACACCTTCAAACAATCGACAGAATTTCTAGAGTCGCACGTTGTGGAATAAACATCTGCGTTTTATTTTGTCGGGCTTCTGCCTAAACGGGTCAGAACGTTCAGTTTTATTTTCTGCTCATAAAAAAATGATCAAAAATGAACTCTTTCTTCCTTGGAGTCTAAAAGTTCTCCACTTCTTGACCTTTTTTATAATAAATGCAGACAGGAAGTGATTGTTAAACTCCAGAGTTCGGGAACATTCATCCATTAACACCAGCACCTGATGGTGTCCTCGAGGTGCACCTCCCAAAGAAAAACAAAATCCAGTGTCTCTGCTGTCGTACTTTATTTTGAAAGGATTATCAAGTGGAAACTAACGTGAGGTGAGTGCGAATATTTGGCAAAAGTTCTTTAAACGCCCGTTCGTCGTATCGAAGCAGCTTTATTGGTGTGAAACTAAACGTTTATTCAATAAATATGTTGGTGTGAATTATTTGGCAGTAACGTCATTCATTAAACAGAAATATGATTTTATTTTATTTACCTCTGCGTTTACATCAGAAACAAACCTGTGCTTTTTAATTATTTTTTTTAATCTTCTTGAAGTTTCAGCCATCACTAAAATAAATAATTGACCCTTTAGAAAATATATTTTTGCTTTTAGTTTTTTCTGTAAAACGTGTCTAAACGTTTCGCAGCAACGATCATGAACATGAATAAAAACGACGGCAGCAGACGAGTCCTGTTCAGCATTAAAGGAGAATAAATTACAAGAATTATCCCTTTAATTCAGTCCTTCTCAAATAGTGGGGCGCGCACCCCTGGGGGGGCCCCGGAGCAATGCCAGGGGGGGCACGTGACCCTGGGGAACATTTTGCGGCAGGGATTAGTTTTATTTTTCTGCACCATCCTCATTGTGTCGGTGCGTCCGGCAACTGTTCGCCTCAGACTCACTAATAATAAAGTTATGAACAAATCTGTCCGTGTTGTCGTTTGAGGAGCCGTGACTGAACCGTGTCGCTCTGGACGCTCTGGACGCTTGTCACCCACAGCACGCACGAGACGGAGGATGAACTCAAAGCGAGAGCGTCAGCTGCTCCTCTTCCTCTTTTACTTTAACCATTTCTTTTAGTTTGTCAAACCACAATTTTTGTGTGTTTTTTAAAACAGAAGTAATGTTTAATAAATGTTAGGACTCTATTCTTTGCTAACACAATATATTTTGTCATTAAACAACTTGTCAGGTTCTTCTCTTGTGAGCGCGTTCCCCTGGATCAATTTGAATGTATTATTATTTATTGATTGTATTTAATTTGATTGTTCAGTATCAAATGGTCAAAAATTTTTACAGTTTAAATACGGATATATATTTTTTAATTTCAGGCAGATGCACTTTGTCTTTTCTGTTGCAAACTATAAAACAATGTTAATAATCTTTGTTGTAAGTTGATCTATATTTCTTAATTTAATTAATGTTAATAAGGACAATGTTATGCAGAGTTGTATTTATAACAGTTTTTTAGACAAATTTTACTATTTACAGTCACGGCGGAGAGTTTGGGGGGGGGGTAACAGAAAATAATTGAAAGCACTGCTTTAAGGCAACACATTCAGGCTTACATACAACAAACTGCCCCCCCCCCCGGTGAAGGGTCCGGTTCTGATCAGAACCTGTCCATGGGCTCTGTTTAATTGGGGGTGGGTGGGGGAATGGATCGATGAGTCAGAGCGACACCCACCGAGACTCGAGAACTCTGCGTTCACCCGAGTGCCTCGTTATCGCTTAGCAACAAGCTAATCTCACCCCCTCCCCCTCCCCCAGAGGAACAGCCGGGGAGGTTCTGCTGCAGGTCCAGATCGGGCCCCAGGTGGTGTTTGCTCTGCTCACCTCTGAGCCGTCTGCTCGTCCATCACCAGAGAGACGTAACCCTCGATCAGGGAGAAGGAAAAGAACCGGATGTGGCTCGGGTCCGTGCCGGACGCACCCACCTCTTTGGACCTGGAAGGGAAACCAGAACCGAATCAGAACTGAAGATCCGATGTAATCTGTTGGCCTCTTCACCTCCTAACAGTTACAATTGTCATTTTCTCAGTTTTCCCTCGTGGAGCTCAGAGCATCTGTTGAGGACGACTCTCAGCTACTACCACACCAAACTTTAGCTCAGCGTCTGCTTCACACCGTCTTTTCTGTTTGCTAAGGTCAGCTGGCTGCGGCAGCCATCTTGAATTGGGGTTGACTCGAAGTTAATCAGCTGTAGACGTCCAGTGATCACTTTCTGAAACTGACCAATGGTTCGTGAGATATTTTGCTGACAGACAGTTACCAGAGGTGGGAGGTAAAATCTATTTTTAGAAGCACAGTCCTAAAGAACGTCTGACTAGGAAATAGTTGACACAAGAACAAAACGGTGATAAACAAGACGCTAATCACGTTAGCATCTAAGCTATCTAAGCTAACTGTTGGTCAGCGGTGACCTTTTTAAGAAAAAAATAAAATCTGTTTATTTATGTGAAACGAGTCTTTTCAGTTTAAAAATCATTTTACAATCGCAGATCTTTGATCATCAGCTCTGCTTACAGAAACTCATCCTTGTGGCAGCGGGCGATCATGTAACTCACCCTCCAGAGTAGAACATGACGTCCATGAGCAGGGTGGCCACAGAGGGCAGCGTGTCCGGGTCCAGGCTGGTCACACAGAACATGTTGCTGGGACTGGACAGAGGGTGGATGATGGGACGGGGAACTGGGAGACAAAGACGGCGAAAAACACGAGACGTTTAGTTTCAAACAGCAAATCTGTCTCGCTGAACTGCACCTGAACGCATCGCGGAGTGGACCTCCGACTGCTGAAGACGTGAACCGTCTTTGAACCGATCCTTGGACTCAGGAATAATAAAACCATCTTTTATAAGAATTTTATATTATCCAGATAAATAACATCCTGAGGAGTAAACGTAATTTAATTACAAAATAATTATCTGTTACAGTTACGTAAAAAACTTAATTAAAAATAAAGTTACTAAAGAAATACTCAAGATTACAAGTTGTGTTACATTTCTGTGAAAAAGCTCAACTTTAAGTTAATTTATATTTTGTTGCCTTTATTCTGCGCTGGCTGTCGAGCTCTCATATTAAAATATAACTAATAAACGGTTTTAAACATGTTTAAATGTGTAAACATGGTCCACAATTTAAAGAAGTAACTAAATTACATTACCGTTAATAAAAAGTAACTTCAAGCGTTACGCTGCTGTTTTAAAAGGAGGAACTCGATGAAGCAACCCACCGAGCTTCGGCTTCACGAAGCCGTTGGAGACGCCCAGGTCGTGAGCAGCAACCGTTTCTCCGTTGACGACTCGAAGCAGCGTGAACTCGGAAGACAGCGTGTGCATGACCATCGGCAGGTCGCGCTCCCGGACCTGAGGGCGACAAGAGCAGCTGAGCTGGAGGCAAACTGAAGCAAGACGCCAGAATGAAGAACAAACATTTTGCTTTTAGCTGCGATCCATAAAGGTTGAACGTCGGGGAGCTGAAGTCATTAAGACACCGAACTTCAGCTTGTCTGGGTTTAAAAACCGGGAGCAGAACCAGCTGCTGCATTTCCAACACTTGTTTTCATCTTTAGTTCGTCGAATGATTTAAGACGACTCTTCTTTATTAGTTTATTTTATTACCAGCGCGTGGATTAAATAACAAAATATTTTTCAAAGACACAGGGCTGTAATTTGTAAACCAAATGATGCCGGAACGCAAAGAGCCGTGGTAGTGGTGGTGTGTCTGAGGCTCCTCCCCCAGAAAATTTTTAATAAAGTAAATGTAATTTCCTGCATTCTGGTGTATTTTAACAGGTTGTTTAACATCTATGTTTACCTACAGAAGTAAACACTGGATTCAATAACTATTTTAGAGAGCAACGAGAAGTAGCCTGACCAACAGCTCTCCCTGTGTGATTAAAGCACACTCCGCTTCTCTCAAGCATCTTACCCCTCCACGTATAAACAGATCGAGTACCGTCTCCACTGTAACCATCTTCATGTGCTTCAATTCTCGGTTGCTTAGTTTTAAAGTAAATTGGACTGTCTTCGACATTTTGACAAATTTGTGCCATTGTTTTGATACGTGATGTACGTGATTACCCATCAAACATTTCTCTCGTTGTATTTTTAATAAACAATTTAATTAATGTCCCACTTAAACTGTAAAACTGATATGCAATTTAGTTGTGCAGTTTAATTACATGTTTGTTTGTAATTGTAGTTTTAGGGGCAGAGATTTTTTAAGGGTAGAAGCAGAAATGCGAAGCGACAGTTCTGATGTGATGTGAAGAAGCTCGTAAGTGGCTGTTGTGTTTAAAATTAATGTTTATGTAATCATTTTCAGACTACATGTCCAATATAGGTTTTATTTGTTCAAGGCAGCCAAATATAGTCATAACTTTATTATTAGTAAGCCTGAGAGTTACCGGATCCACGCAAAAAGTTACTGGAATACACCCTGTCAAAATAAGAGTTCCTGGATCCTCTGGCAGGATCCAGCTCAATTTAAATCCTGCAAAGACGACAAACATCTAATAAAATATATAAAGTGTCAAACCAGGAGCTGAAGCTGAGAAGGAGAAATCTTCTTTCTGATTATTTTTGTATTTTATTATTAACACACTGGTTTAGTTTGTTTGAGAGCGGTCTGGCCAGCTGTGGTACTCACCTGTGTTTAGGTCTTTCGTTTTATTTTGACCTCCTTTATGGGACTTATTTTTCTCATTTTAAATTCATCCTAAAATAAGAATATTTATTTTGAATAATAAATCTCGTGGCTTGTTCCTTGAACTCAGTTTGATGAAGCGCTGTTTATTGCACCGTTCCCGTCACAAACTAAAGAACAGGCGTTTAAATCGAAACACGCTGTAGTTCTGAACGTTTCCTCGCAGCAGCTTCGCTCAACGTTATAATTTCACGTAATCGTTGGAGTCGAACTTTAATTCTCAGTAAAACGGTTTAAAGTTTTTTTTAGTTTTAGTGAAATCGAGACAAATTCAAACGAATGAGACGATCGTTGGTGTTTTCCTGTGGAGGGAGTTCCGTGCAGCAAATGTTCGTTTATCGTCAACGATCAGGACGGAGAGCAGCAGCAGCCGCTGTGGAGACAGGAAACGGGTCGGGTCCGTGACCCGCAGAACCTGAAGCGTGAGCGGCTGGTCCTCTTCATGAAACAGCTACACGGACACAGCTTTTAGCCGGTCGTTGGCGCCGGTCGTCAGAACTCGTGTTTCTATAAAAAATAAAAAGAAGCTCTGGAACCAAGCCGGGCCGAGCGGGTCGGGCTACAGGAGCTCCACCGTTCCTGCTGGACGTCTAACAAAAATAATTCAACGGCAACAACGAGCTGCACCGACGAGTTCTGACCCGATCTTTAAAGGAAGGCCCGGTGTTGCATATCGCACAACGGATCTGTTGGCTCTCACAGCGAGAGCGACTCTCAGCTACTACCACACCAGACTTCAGCTGTTTCTGTAAAACTGACGGAGTTATTGTCATTTTTCTGTTGGGGTCGCAGCGGCGGCCATCTTGACCTTAATGTGCAAATGATTATTTGTTTTTAAATCTCGTGGTCGGTGTGATATTTTGCTAACAGCACAGACACACATAAAAACGTTGAAGTTTTCACTGTGAGGCGACAAACGTCAGTTTGGTCGTTGTCTCTGCTGTCGTAGCACCAGAGGCTCGTTTTGATCTAGACCCCCCACAGTTCTGGTTCTAATGATCCAGTACCCCCCACCCCCCAGGCAATAATCAAAGCTGAGGGAGCCTTCAGATGAGGGTTTGTGTGCATCTTTAGATCCAGGAGCTGGATTAGATCCTCAGCAGCTTTTACTGATCGATGATCAAACGTGAACCCGACAGATGTTCTGACGGCAGGCCCGCTGGGCCTCACTCACCAGGATGAAGTCCGTCTGGTACGTGGACAGCATGAAGACGGAGATGTTGTGGTCGGCCAGCGGGGCGATGACGGACTTGGCGATTTTGGTGACTCCGATGGGCTGCGAACTGGAAGCGTTGCCGCCGCCCGACACCACGTTGAGGGCCAACCACGTGGCGTCCGCGACGCTGATCAGGTCCGACTGCGGCAGCTCTGAGACGGAGAGACAAACATCTGGAACGTCTGGCTGAAGCACAGCTGGATTCATACATTAATCTGAGAGATGATTCCTGCTCCTACAGCAGATGGAAACTAACCGGACTCTTCTTTATTTTAATGTTCACCACTTCCTCTTTGAAATAAAAACTCGGGACGTTTGTGTTTCAGTCGCTGAACTCGAGCTGTTTGTGGAAGCACCGAGGCGGCAGCCATCACTTTCTTTAACGCCTCTGCACCTAAAAACATCCACAACAACTACAATCCCAACAAGTTTAATCTCTAAACTTCCACGAGTCAAACTTTTCTCAGTTTGAAGTGACAGCAGCTGCAGAGTTTCCACCTCGACACCGAACATCCGCCGCGCTTTGACCACGACGGTTACATCATCACCCGCCCCTTCAACTGAACGTGTTGTTAAAATACATTCACCGAGGAGGCGGCTGCATCGAGCCTCCAGCACTTAACCCAAAACTTTAAACTGGTCTGAGCCGTCACGTCTCGACATATGACGAATAAATGACGTTGATGTGAGTTTGAACCGCTGACTGCAAAATAAAATAATAAACGCAGCAGAAAAACCGCTGAACCGTGTGGAAAAGGCTGAAATACGCAGAGGCAGAACACATTCTGAAAAAATCTCAAAGTAACCGAAAACAAACTGAAATGAGGAAAACAACAAAAAGCAGCTGAAGAAAAACTGAAATGAGCTGAAAGACGTTGAAATTATTCTAAAGAATCACAACATCTGTAGAGTTCAGTCGTGGTGGCTCAGAGGTTAGAGAAGGTGAGCCTGTGATCAGAAGGTCGCCAGTTCAACTCCCCGGACTGACAACATCAGAATGTCCGTGGGAAAGGCGAAGCACCCACACCTGCCTCCACCCTTATTTGCTCCACTTTGTGCCCTTGAGCAAGGCCCTTAATGCTCCCCGGGCCCCTGATGGCAGCTCTCTGCTCCACACTCAGAGCTGTGTCAGGAAGGACATCCGAGTCTTCGTGCGAGTCGCTGGAGCGACCCCTGAAGAAGCAGCAGCCGAAAGAAAAAAAAAGTTAAAATTAGCTGCGACTAAAGAGCAGCTGAAAAAGCTGAAAGGAGCTGAACCAGGACAAAAGCTGCAACGAGCAGTAAACGTTGTGGAAGAGAGACGGCTCGTTTTCAGTGAGAAAAACATGGCCGACAAAGCTAAACATTTCAAAAAGTAAAAAACGCACAAATACTAAAGTTAGAGCAGGAACGTCCCGAATGAGCCGAACGTTTTGATGCACGAATTATGAACGAGCCGTTCCTCCATCGTCTGACTGACCTCTACATGATCAGAGTGAGGTGAAGCCGCCATTCTTGTGGGCCGCACTCGCTCTTTTGTCGCCGCCTCCTCGGGTCACGAGACCAAGTCTAGAACGGCTGCGAGTCTCGGGACGTCCTGGAGGAGACATCCGTCCATCACCTCGCAGCCCCGAGAGACACACAGAGGTCGACCATTTTTAGCCGATTCTCAGTTTTACAGCTGTTAGTCTTGAACGTCTCGCTCCGTGTTTTAGGCCTCGCCACACCTGAGCTCACCTGGGAGGGTGCAGCGCGTTCTCCTGTCGGGGCCTTAAAAACCTGCCGAGTGTCTCGGGCGTTTACAAAACGTGACCCGACACCGCGCGCTCCAGTTTCCCCTCGACGCACTCGGACGTGAACCCGGCCGGAGGCAGTGACCGGGAGCAAAATACCTGCGGCGGTTATGCAACAGGTAGCATGTGGTCTCCACGGTAACCGCGGAGGGTCGGCGTGGAACGGAGCGTGTAATGACACGGACTCGTTAAGCCGGCCAACCACGAAACACGGCCTCACGTCTGCGGAGGCAGAGTGAGCTCAAACAGTGGCAGCTGAAGCCACGCCGGGCCGGACAGAACCAGAACACACACACACACTGATCTCTTCCTGCTGCCCAATCTGTGGTTGCCACAGCGACTTGTAAAGAGCGGGCGAAGCAGACCCCACCTTTAAAGCCTTCCTCGTCGACGATGATGGTGTAGTCCTCTGGAGTCTCCGTCAAACTGAAAAACTTGCATCTGAAAAGACAAAGAAAATTGTTGTTGAGTTAAAAATGTCCGTTTTATGTGAAGCCCAACGACATTAATCATAAAGCGACAGCTGTCTGAAACTTTCAGGGATCAAACAGCCGGAGGCGTTTCCACAGAAGATGTCTCGTTTCACACCGAGGCTCAGAACCGAGCCGTCCCCAGAACCCAGTGTGGTTCTGCTTTCAACCTCCTGGACTCCGTGAGGGGCGACCCCCGCCGAGACAGGAATTCCAGTTTCATTATCCGAGCACGGAGCGGCCCGGAGGGAACTCCAAACGTCCAGACTGTGAAACGTTAATTTGGGGTTTATTCGTCCGGTCTCCAGTTTTCTGTTCTTGGAGCTCCGAAGCTTCAGATGAATTCTTTAAAGTCGTCATTTAAACGTTTGAAAGCGTTTACGAGTCGAGGCCCTGAGGTCCGATCCACGGACCCCGTCGATGAGGCCAAGCTTGACTTTTGTGTGACCTGCTACAAATAAAGTGTTTCTAACTTTGGTTTACAGGATAAAATTTGACCAAGTGTTCATAATAAAACGAGAAACATTTTATTTTTAAAACTTTAGAAGCTTGTTTAGGCCTGTCGCCATAAACAATCAATTAATCGCATGATAAATGAAAATGATCAACCTCATTTTCATTTATCAGCTTCATCGTTTCTTCGTGTCTCTCTTTCTACTGAAGACACTCGACGACAAAAGGCTCAACTCCGGTGCTCTTCACTGACCCCTCCCTTTCTCTTTAAAATCTGCTTTAACGTCCAAAATTGCGTTTTTGATCATTAAAAGCAGCTAAGCTACAAACTAAGCTAACAGGCCGACTTCAGGGAAAAAACTTCCGTCTTGTCGAAGCTCCAAAAGTCAACAGTTGAAACTCGTGCCTTGGTGTAAAAAGTTGTTTTTCTCTGAAAAAAGAAGCTGAGAACTTGTTTACTGATTATTTTATTAAAAGCTTTGTGTGACAAATGCTATGCTAAAGAGCACAAACCACACCGAGCGTCCTCCATTTTGAGAACCGAAGAAAGGAAGGAGAGACAGCCCATGTCACGTCAAGGGGCCTCCCTACCATTTTTCTTACAGACACACTGCTCACTCCCTCACTATCCATCCTTCGGTTCAGACAGTCTTATACTGCCATGCAGTGGTCAAAAAGAGGTACTACACATAAAATAAACCAACATTTCTTCTTCAATTTGACAATAATTAATAATTATTGTCAAATTTCAAACAATATTATCATTTATCGCAATAATTTCCGAGACAATTGCCCAGCAAAATTTGTTATTGTGACAGGTCTAGGCTGTTATACTTTTCTAGAAAATCAGTTTTAATTTATTAGCAGCTTCCCACACATCTCATTTTATTTACACACCGTTAAATCACAAACAGCTAAGGCCGAGTTCTCTTCGCTCTGTAAAACCGCCTTAAAGACGTGCCAATGCTAGCGGAAATTAGCATTTAGTTATATGGTGTGTTCACAGACCAGAGGGCGAAAGTAAAAAAAAGTTCTAAGGAGCTGGATCGGCCGGTCACTGGTCAGGCTTAAAAATCTCCCAATTCAAATTCCCGGTTGATTAATGGGTGCACCGTTGGTCACAGAAGTCCATCTTTTGTTTGGGTCCTAAAATAGTTGAAGGAATCGTTCCCACGAGTCAGACAGAAGTGATGACGAGGAGAGTTTCTCTTTCAAGGAGGAACCGTTTGTCGGCTGGAGGCGTCCTTCAAACAGAAGGCTCTTTAAAAAACACTAAGCCAGGACTTGGAACGCCTTCTGAACACCTTGGTGGGATTTCCGAATGGACCGAGTCAGAGAAGGAGGTTGAAGCTGATCCAGCTCTGATGTGCCTTTGTGCCGTGAAGCGACGTAGTAACAGAGCCGAAACAGTCGACTAGACCTGTCACGATAACAAATTCTGCTGGGTGATTAATTGTCTCAGAAATTATTGCGATAAACGATAATATTGTTTGAAATTTGACAATAATTAATAATTATTGTCAAATTTAAAAATAAATGTTTGATCATTTGTTTTGCATGTAGTACCTTTTATCGACCACCGGATGGCAGTATTAGACTGTTTGAACTGAAGGATGGATAGTGAGGGAGCGAGCAGCACGTCTCTAAGAAAAAATGGGAGGAAGGCCTCGAGTGGCATGGGCTGTCTCTCTTCGGTTCTCAAAATGGAGGACACTCGGTGTGGTTTGAGCTCTTTAGCATAGCATTTGTCACACAAAGCTTTTAATAAAATAATCAGTAAACAAGTTCTCAGCTTCTTTTTTCAGAGAAAAACTACTTTTTACACGAAGGCACGGGTTTCAACCGTGACTTTTGGAGCTTCAACAAGACGGAAGTTTTTTCCCTGAAGTCGGCCTGTTAGCTTAGCTCGTAGCTTAGCTGCTTTTAACGATCCAAAAAAAAAAAAAAACAAGAAAGAAAGAGAGGGGTCAGTGAAGAGCAACAGAGTTGAGCCTTTTGTCGTCGAGTGTCTTCAGTAGAAAGAGAGAGACGCAAAGAAACGATAAAGCTGATAAATGAAAACGAGGTGGATAATTTTAATTTATCGTGCGTTTAATTGATTTATTGTTTATCGTGACAGGCCTACGGTCGACGTGTGCACAGGCAAGTCGGATCAGTGATGTGACCCGACCCGGTCGCAGTTTTAAACAAACAGATTTATTACAGAGGGAAGATCCATGATGACGCTCGGCAACTTGGGTCGTGTTTTGAAGACGATGCGAACGTCCGTCACGTCAAACGTCAACATTGCTCCACGAATCTTTTGGCTCCGTGAAGCTCACTTCGTTTCTGAAAGCTCACATCTGTGGACAACTCCGCCTGGGACAACCCCGCCTGGGACAACCCCGCCTGGG